TGCTGTCAAAGGCCCAAACACAGTCTGCTGAACTCAACGCCTCAACAAAAGTATGCTCATGACTCACAAGAAGTACAACACTCAAATACCTCACAACATCACAAAGAAAAATCCAACACAGTACTGCATGAACTAAACAAAGTATCCCAACCACACAAGTCTCGCTAAAACAAAGAAGACAACCAACACAAGATAACTCACTGAACATCAACAAAGAAGACAAACACAAGATAACTCACTGAACATCAACAAAGAAGACAACCAACACAAGATAACTCACTGAACATCAACAAAGAAGACAACACAAGATAACTCACTGAACATCAACAAAGAAGACAGCCAACACAAGATAACTCACTGAACATCAACAAAGAAGACAACCAACACAAGATAACTCACTGAACATCAACAAAGAAGACAACCAACAAAGATAACTCACTGAACATCAACAAAGAAGACAACCAACAAAGATAACTCGCTGAACATCAACAAAGAAGACAACCAACACAAGATAACTCACTGAACATCAACAAAAGAAAACCCAACACAAGATAACTCACTGAACATCAACAAAGAAGACAACCAACAAAGATAACTCACTGAACATCAACAAAGAAGACAACCAACAAAGATAACTCACTGAACATCAACAAAGAAGACACCAACACAAGATAACTCACTGAACATCAACAAAGAAGACAACCAACACAAGATAACTCACTGAACATCAACAAAGAAGACAACCAACACAAGATAACTCACTGAACATCAACAAAGAAGACAACCAACACAAGATAACTCACTGAACATCAACAAAGAAGACAACCAACAAAGATAACTCACTGAACATCAACAAAGAAGACAACCAACACAAGATAACTCACTGAACATCAACAAAGAAGACAAGCCAACACAAGATAACTCACTGAACATCAACAAAGAAGACAACCAACACAAGATAACTCACTGAACATCAACAAAGAAGACAACACAAGATAACTCACTGAACATCAACAAAGAAGAAAAGCCAACACAAGATAACTCGCTGAACATCAACAAAGAAGACAGCCAACAAAGATAACTCACTGAACATCAACAAAGAAGACAACCAACACAAGATAACTCACTGAACATCAACAAAAGAAACCCAACAAAGATAACTCACTGAACATCAACAAAGAAGACAGCCAACACAAGATAACTCACTGAACATCAACAAAGATGACAACCAACAAAGATAACTCACTGAACATCAACAAAGATGACAACCAACACAAGATAATACAATAACCAAGAGCTGCAGATGAAACACAGAAGACAGAGGAGAGAGAGAGCGAGAGAGCGAGGGTCGAGTTATGAAACACAGAGAGGGGGACTGATTAAAACAAAAAACATTAAACAAAGGGGAAATGCATTAACTAGATATATATTTTACACCTATATGCAAATTAATTACGTAGGGTGATTTTTTGTATTATTAAGAGGTAACTCCACACATGCAAAAAAATATATATAATTTTATATATATAATATTATATATTATATATTATATATATATTTATATATATATATATAATTATATATATATATATATATAATATATATATATATGCAGAATAAGATCATAGTAAACAGGTGATATCAGAATAAGCAAAACAATCACTGTGAAAGAATAGCGAAATTCCAAGCGCTTTCGTGACTTCTCACATTATCAAGGAACTATAAAAAACAAAACATCAAAGGAAGGCACATGAAGGGTCAAGACTACACCTCACCATCACATCACCACAACACAGCTACACCTCATACACCCGTGACGACACCCGACTCTGTGAAACACACTTAATACTCTACCCAAGAACTAAGATTTATTATTTGTCTAATGTATCATTAAATTCTTCCCAAATTTTATTAATTATAAATGAATCCAAATTATATAAACCAAAGGAAATATTCATATTATTTTCAAAACTTCTTTTTATGAAACATGATTTAATTAAATTCCTGTCGACCATGGACTTGCTGATACAACTTTCTCAACGTTTTGAAAATCAAATGGATGGTTAAAATCTTTCACGTGAATAAACAAACATCAAAATCTTGTCCAGTTCTAATGCTATATTTATGTTGTTTTAATCTTAGTTCGAGACTTTTGCCAGTTTGACCGTAATAAACTTTATCACATATTTTATAAGGAATCTTATAGACTCATCCGTCGGCATTTTGGGGGGAATTCTTTATCAAAAGTTTTTTTTTTTACTGTATCAAGATTTTTAAATACAATTTTGATATTAAAAGTCTTAAGAAGAGATGTCATATCAACCAAGTTTTCATGGTAAGGGAGAACCAACATATTTTTAGTTGAATAAGGTTGGTTGTCCCTTTTTGGATTGCAAAAAGTATTTCTAGCAACTTTAAAAGATTTATCAATTACGTTTCTTGGGTATTTCAGATCATTAGTTATTTCATAAATTTTAGATATTTCCTCATCTATGAACTCTGGACTACAAATATTTAAATCTCTCAAAAACACTGATGAGAAAACCGATAGTTTAACTTTGTCTTGATGTGAAGAATAACAGTGTACAGATTTTAAATTTAAAATCATTGTTACCCTTAATAATTAAAACATCTAGAAAAGGGATCGAGTTATTTGCTTCGAACTCAACAGTAAAATTTATAGAATGGACTAAGCTATTTAATTTAACAAAGAAATGGTTTATATCTACATTTTTAGGCATAAGACACAAAATATCATCAACATATCTGAACCATTTAGCTTAGCACAATCCTTAACAAAATCCTTCCTAACAGAGCTAAGTGGTTTAGATATGTTGATGATATTTTGTGTCTTATGCCTAATAATATATATATATATATATATATATATTATATATATATATATATATATATATATATATATTATATATATATATATATATATATATAATGAATAAATGAAAGAGAATATTTGTCAAAATAAACTGTGTAGAAATATGTTATCTTTAATGAGTAAATGTGTTATTTTCAGTTCCTCCTAAAGTAACAAGAAGACACTTGGGTATCTCTTATATCGACCCTGGGTATAATAATTTACGTGGCCCCAATTCACCAGTCGTGACCTTCTCTGTGACCCAGTGACCTCGTATGCGTGTGTTATTGACACAGGTGCCACACGATAGTGAACTATTGGGCCTGGCACTACAACCTAGATGTCTTGCTGCTGGCACTGATAAAAACCTGAAATATTTCTTCATATGCCAAATCCAGGGCAAAAAGACACATCAACTATCGGGGCCCCTTGTTTAATATGGAACTTACACCCATGATAGCGAAGATATAAGCCAGATACTAAGTACTCTTGATTCAGGGTACGAGAGCCGCTCTCCCATCGCTGCATCTGTATATTAACATTCGGAGAGTATACATATTCTGTGTATTATATACATTGGGAGAGTGCATACAGCTTTCCTATCGATATTAACATGACATAGACGGAGCAGTAAGTAACTGATGGAGGGAATGTTGTGAGTGGAGGGAATGTTGTGAGTGGAGGGAATGTTGTGAGTGGAGGGAATGTTGTGAGTGGAGGGAATGAAGGAGTGGTACAGACATGTGATGGAGGACAAGGAGAGGGAAGAGAGGGAGGAGAGTGGGACCGACACAGATCATGATGATAACTCATGAACACTGACGTGACGTTCAAAATCTATATATATATAAAATTCACTCAGACGCCATGAACCGGGTGCAAGACACTCAATAATAATAATAATAATAATAATAATAATAGTAATAATAATAATAATAATTAATAATAATACACATATACACATGATAGTGGTGAGAGTTATATCTCTATAAGTAATCCCTCAATTATACACCTTCTGAATTTTTGTAATAAATTATTATTAATTATTATTATTATTATTATTATTATTATTAAAGGTCTTGAAAGAGATGGTTTATGTATTGTCTGACGCTCGTGTAAACCCCCAGGGACGGTGTGGGGGAGGGGGGGTTCTTGAAGGATAAACCAGCACAGTGAGCGTGGGGTTCACAAGGCTTACATTGTGAGAGAGCGAGGGGGTCGAACCCCCCTCGCCCCCCCCCCCCACCGTGGGTGCAGCGAATATGACGCCAGATATTGACTTGGATACAAGTAGAATCTTGAGAACTTTCAAGGAAGAACTTGAGGCCTTAAGAACCTTGAAGGAAGAACTTAAGACCTTAAAAAACTTGAAGGAACTTAAAAACAATAAGAACCTTGAAAGAAAAACTTCAAGGAAGAACTTGTGTTGAAAATGGTATAAAATACCAAGAAGTTGATGATTACGACACATGTGCAACAGGTGGATATCATCATGGACGAAACTCATCGCCTGCACAGTAGGCTTCTTCAGTCAGATACTGGCCACCTCAAATACTTTTTCTGCAATGTTGAAGGAGTGATTACATCATATTCATTTTACTTGTACACTTGCTCATGTATCTGACTGAAGAAGCCTACCGTGTAGGCGACACGTTTCAACAATACATACACCCAACTGTTGCACATGAGTCTTCAAGGATGAATCTGATAGGGACCTTAAGAACCTTAAAGGAAGAACTTGAAAGGCCTTAATAAATCTGAAGGGAGAACTCGAGACCTTAATTATTATAATCATAACTAGGCGCTAAGCCCACAAGGTTAAGACCTTGAGAACCTTGAAGGAAGGAACATTGACTAGTAAGAACCTCTCAGAACCAGAGTCCTACATACCGTTTCCTTCCTTCAACTTAAGTTACCTCTTAGTCCCCAGTTGCTCTACCACCCGCACGGATTTAGCTCTTCACGCTCAATATAATAATAATAATAATAATAATAATAATAATAATAATAATAATAATAATAATAATAATAATACTGGAGCCCTCAGATACACACATACAGTTACATAGATTATCATACACAGCAGCATATGTGTAGACAACCTGGGATAACCCAAAACAATCAGAAACGACCCTGCCAGGATTCGAACCTGGAGTCTTCTGATCCGAAGTTAGATGCGTTAACCGTTGCGCCACGGGGCCTAATAAACAAACACTTCCTCGACTCATCAATAATAATCAGTGACTCTCGTGTCGGTAACAATTTTAACAGAAACTGAAAGGAAAAAAACGGATGGAAATGTATTGGGACGATTTTTATATTGAAACCATAGTAATTACTGAAGCTTATGTTGGACTGTAAGATTGGCTGGTAAATTCCTTCATACATCATACAACTGGCTGGTAAATTCCTTCATACATCATACAACTGGCTGATAAATTCCTTCATACATCATACAACTGGCTGGTAAATTCCTTCATACATCATACAACTGGCTGGTAAATTCCTTCATACATCATACAACTGGCTGGTAAATTCCTTCATACATCATACAACTGGCTGGTAAATTCCCTCATACATCATAAAACTGGCTGGTAAATTCCTTCATACATCATACAACTGGCTGGTAAATTCCCTCATACATCATACAACTGGCTGGTAAATTCCCTCATACATCATACAACTGCCTGGTAAATTCCCTCATACATCATACAATTGGCTTGTAAATCCCCTCATACATCATACAACTGGCTGGTAAATTCCCTCATACATCATACAACTGGCTAGTAAATTCTTCCATACAATCATACAACTGGTAAATCCTATTCCCTTACATCATACATACAACCGACATAAATCCTCTCATACATCATGCAACTAGCTACAACCTCCAGGGTACACAGGTGTATGGAGACATACACCAGAATTACCAACACGTCCCGCCCCGCCCGGGATTCGAACCCGGGCACTTTCCATTGAGAGCCGATCACTCGCTTATTAAGTCATAAAAAAAATATCACGACATGATAATTTTTGGTACGAGCTGCAGAATGATAGACGGATGATAGACATGACAAGCTTCATTGACGAGGAGACATGATAGGAGGCTATGAGACATGATAGGCTTTACAGGAGGATAAGAATCGTGATACACTTTATATAAGGAAGAGAAGACATGATAGGAGGCTAAGAGACATGATAGGCTGTATAGGAGGATAAGAGAAGACATGATAGGAGGCTAAGAGAAGACATGATAGGAGGCTAAGAGACTTGATAGGCTGAATAGAAGGATAAGAGAAGACATGATAGGATGCTACGAGACATAATAGGCTGTATAGGAGGATAAGAGAAGACATAATAGGAGGTTAAGAGACATGATAGGCTGTACAGGAGGCTAAGAGAAGACATGATAGGAGGCTAAGAGAAGACATGATAGGAGGCTAAGAGACGACATGATAGGAGGCTAAGAGAAGACATGATAGGAGGCTAAGAGACATGATAGGTTGAATAGGAGGATAAGAGAAGACATGATAGGTTGTATATGAATATAAGAGAAGGCATGATAGGAGGCTAAGAGACATGATAGGCTTAATGAATAAGAGACATGATACGCTTTATAGAACAAGAGAAAACATGATACGAGGCTGCGAGACATGACAGGCTGTATAGGAGGATAAGAGAAGACATGATAGGAAGCTAAGAGACAAATGCTGTATAGGAAGATAAGAGAAGACATGATAGGAGGCTAAGAAACATGATAAGAGGATATGAACCATGATAGGCTTTATAGAAGGTAAGGGAATGCATGACAGGAGGCTAAGAGACATGATACGCACTATAGGAGGATAACAGAAGACATGACAGGCATGATAGAATGATAAGAGGCATGATAACAATCAAATTTACTAACAAAAGAGGAAAGAAAACATAGATATAACCAAGGCAAGAAGAAGTTCAGAAGACATACGAAAAATACTCTTATTTAAGTGATTTAAAAGAGGACGTAATGGGGTGATTTACAAGAGAACGTAATGGAGTGATTTACAAGAGAACGTAATGGGGTGATTTACAAGAGAACGTAATGGGGTGATTTACAAGAGGACGTAATGGGGTGATTTACAAGAGAACGTAATGGGGTGATTTACAAGAGAACGTAATGGGGTGATTTACAAGAGAACGTAATGGGGTGATTTACAAGAGGACGTAATGGGGTGATTTACAAGAGAACGTAATGGGGTGATTTACAAGAGGACGTAATGGGGTGATTTACAAGAGAATGTAATGGGGGGATTTACAAGAGAACGTAATGGGGTGATTTACAAGAGAACGTAATGGGGTGATTTACAAGAGGACGTAATGGGGTGATTTACAAGAGAACGTAATGGGGTGATTTACAAGAGGACGTAATGGGGTGATTTACAAGAGAACGTAATGGGGTGATTTACAAGAGAACGTAATGGGGTGATTTACAAGAGAACGTAATGGGGTGATTTACAAGAGGACGTAATGGGGTGATTTACAAGAGGACGTAATGGGGCGATTTACAAGAGAACGTAATTGGGTGATTTACTAGAGAACGTAATTGGGTGATTTACAAGAGAACGTAATTGGGTGATTTACTAGAGAACGTAATGGGGTGATTTACAAGAGAACGTAATTGGGTGATTTACTAGAGAACGTAATGGGGTGATTTACAAGAGAACGTAATGGGGTGATTTACAAGAGGACGTAATGGGGTGATTTACAAGAGAACGTAATGGGGTGATTTACAAGAGAACGTAATGGGGTGATTTACAAGAGAACGTAATGGGGTGATTTACAAGAGAACGTACTGGGGTGATTTACAAGAGGACATAATGGGGCGATTTACAAGAGGACGTAATGGGGTGATTTGCAAGAGAACGTAATGGAATGATTTACAAGAGAACGTAATGGGGTGATTTACAAGAGGACGTAATGGAACATTTGAAAAAAGGACGTAATGGAATGATTACAAAAGGACGTAATAAAGTGATTTACAAAAGGACGTATGGAATGATTTACAAAGGCATGGTAAATGCTACAATCACTTCACACTTGTTAATGAATAAATACTGAAGGAGCATCGTCACCTTGGCTCTGCTCCTGAAGCTACCAAGTGTACACACACGCACACAAGATGACTTGATAGTGTCGACAAAGATTGACTGTTACAAAAGCCGGACACAGAAGGGTACAGTTGGTAGTTAAAGACAAAGATGAGTCACAGGGATGTCAGGAAGTATTTCTTCAGCCCTCAGGTATGTTAGGAAGTAGCTGTTCAGCCCTCAGGCATATTAGGAGGTAGCTCTTCAGTCATCAAGTATGTTAGGAAGTAGCTCTTCAGCCCTCAGGGATATCAGGAAGTATTTTTTCAACCCTCCGGATGTGAGAAAGTATTTCTTCAGCCCTCAGCGATGCCAGGATGTATTTCTTCAGCCCTCAGGGATGTCCGGAAATATTTATTCAGGCCTCAGGGATGTCAGGAAGTAGAATGATTTGGATAAAGAAATTGTGGAGATAGGTTCTCCATACACAGCTTTACGAATAGGTATGTAGTCAGCGAGGCTAAGATGTGAACCAGGTAACAGCCAGTTCAGAGACCGGCGGGACCAGAAGCTGTGAATCGACCCCAGCAATCGAAAATAGGTATGTACAGTCATGTAAATATACATAAACATGTGAAAGCCCAAAATCCATACGGGGTCACACATCTTCTGGAGAAACAGGCAATCAGGTTTGATCCAAGTGAAGGTTAGCCCCAGTTTCCTGGATCAAGAGCCTTTGAGCAGCATCAAGGCACCGTGGTTTGTATACCTTTGACGGGTTCCCAGAGTTTTCCAACTCCAGGATGCCGGTCCTGGTCCAGGCTTGTCTGGTCCACCAGGTTGTTGTTGTTAGGTAAGACACATATGCAACAGTTAGGTATCTTTATTTCGAAACGTTTCGCCTACACAGTAGGCTTCTTTAGTCGAGTACAGAAAAGTTGATAGAAGCAGAAGAGACTTGAAGACGATGTAATCAGTCCATCACCCTTAAAGTTTTGAGGTGGTCAGTCCCTCAGTCTGGAGAAGAGTATTGTTCCATAGTCTGAAACAATATTGTTTCATACTTTAAGGGTGATGGACTGATTACATCGTCTTCAAGTATCTTCTGCTTCTATCAACTTTTCTGTACTCGACTGAAGAAGCCTACTGTGTAGGCGAAACGTTTCGAAATAAAGATACCTAACTGTTACATATGTGTCTTACCTAACAACCTGTCGGTATTTTATACCATTTTAATGTTCAGGTTGTTGTTGCTGGTGGTCCTCTTTCAGGATTGTCTAGTCAACCAGGTTGTTCTTGCTGGTGGACCTGGTGCAGGCTTGTCTGGTCCAGCAGGTTGTTGTTGCTGGTGGACCTGGTCCAGGCTTGTCTGGTCCACTAGGTTGTTGCTGCTGGTGGTCCTGGTCCAGGTTTATCTGGTGCTTACCTGGTTCACCAGGTTGTTGCTGCTGGTGGCCCTGGTCCAGGTTTGTCTGGTGCATACCTGGTCCACCAGGTTGTTGCTGCTGGTGGCCCTGGTCCAGGTTTGTCTGGTGCATACCTGGTCCACCAGGTTGTTGCTGCTGGTGGCCCTGGTCCAGGTTTGTCTGGTGCATACCTGGTCCACCAGGTTGTTGCTGCTGGTGGCCCTGGTCCAGGTTTGTCTGGTGCTTACCTGGTCCACCAGGTTGTTGCTGCTGGTGGCCCTGGTCCAGGTTTGTCTGGTGCATACCTGGTCCACCAGGTTGTTGCTGCTGGTGGCCCTGGTCCAGGTTTGTCTGGTGCTTACCTGGTTCACCAGGTTGTTGCTGCTGGTGGCCCTGGTCCAGGTTTGTCTGATGTATACCTGGTCCACCAGGTTGTTGCTGCTGGTGGCCCTGGTCCAGGTTTGTCTGGTGCATACCTGGTCCACCAGGTTGTTGCTGCTGGTGGCCCTGGTCCAGGTTTGTCTGGTGCATACCTGGTCCACCAGGTTGTTGCTGCTGGTGGCCCTGGTCCAGGTTTGTCTGGTGCATACCTGGTCCACCAGGTTGTTGCTGCTGGTGGCCCTGGTCCAGGTTTGTCTGGTGCTTACCTGGATAACCAGATTTTTACTGCTGGCAGTCCGCTGCCTTGACTTATATTATAATCAAAACTAAGAGCTAAACCCACAAGAG